GGCCCAGGGCCCTAGTACCTACGGACAAGGCCGGACTCATGGCCCAGGGCCCTAGTACCTACGGACAAGGCCGGACTCATGGCCCAGGGCCCTAGTACCTACGGACAAGGCCGGACACATAGCCCAGGGCCCTAGTACCTACGGACAAGGCCGGATTCATGGCCCAGGGCCCTAGTACCTATGGACAAGGCCGGATTCATAGCCCAGGGCCCTAGTACCTACGGACAAGACCGGATTCATTTCTGGTTGTTCCAGCAACAATTAGTGCTGTGGGTAGGGCCCCCACCCCCTTAAATTCGGGCCCTGTCTACAGAACCGAACTAAAGAAATCCCAAACACACACATCGATGCTACATCACACACTGAGGTACACTGCAGTAACCCTGCACATCACAAACATCACGAAGACCACGGCAAAGATCTCTCAATGGCCAGTGAAGGGATCGAGTTAAGCTGCATCGTTAATGAACTCAAGGGTGATTTAATAAGGTCTTGCAAATGGAAGTACATGCACACAACATGCATTAGACACAGAGAAGCGCAGAAAAACTTCGCTCTGATAAGTGGCACAAAACTCCATTATAAATTAAAATTTAAAGTGGAAGTATATACAAAGTGTGGTATATTCAGTGACCCCATGTGACCTCTGCTTGTAACCCTAAACACAATCCCACGTGAGGATTCCCCCCGGCAGTGACATCATTCCTGCCAACATGAACTTTTTTTTTATATATTTTTTTTTTTTTAAAAAAGCAATAGTATCTAGTATAACATTACAAGCATAAGACATGGGGCATTTTCTGATGAATATGCCTGGGGGTGGGCAGCTGGCCGGTCTCCATGTGCACGCAGACTGTCCCACAATGCACTTCAACTGTCTTCTTTTCCTACGTCCTTGAATTTTCATCCCACCTCTGTCCACCTGACAGGAAAAGAAGGACAGATTGAGGTGCAAACATACTGTTCAAAAGCTCAGCTTTTCCTGGTCAAGCTCTGTAACATTCATCTCTGTGGGCACGTGAGATACGTGGGTCGGCAATGGAAGCTGGAAGACTTTCTGCTTCATTACTGATCTTGTGGTGTAACCGTAGAGCACTTGCATAACTATAGGAATATCATCAAAGATAAAAAAACAAATGGTAGAGAGAAAGATTGACTTGCAAAAAATCTTTAAATCATGGAAGAGATTTTTGGCCCCATGAAAGCAGATAATACTCATGGGAGTTTTACTTACACAAAAATGTTATGAGGGCAGAATGAAAAATGACAAAGTATTTCTCTGAACCATTCAGATTGTAGAGGAGGTGGGTCCAAGACACCTGATTAGTTGTTCCTGCCTCCTATAGTAGCTTGGATCCACCTCCTCTACAATCTGATTGGTTATCTCTCTGAACCAATCATGTTTTGTTCTGGCCTGTGTAAGTAAAACTCCCATGAGCACATATAATATTGGGCTTCCTACCCAGCCCAATCCAATTATATTCCAAATCTTTTAGGGCCCCTGTCACTCAGAGACCCTGTGAATTCCCTCGTTACAGCACCTTGAGTAGAATAATGCCACCATGTAGCTGGTTTATCCTTCCTTCTAGAGACGGCTCTTTCCAGCCGGGAGTCAAACTGATTACTATCCATGGTACTTCAGCCTCATTGACAGAACAGACATCTGTAGCATTATGAAGCACGAGCCTATAAGCTCTCAGCGGCTCACCTTGGGGGAGGGGCTTCTGGCATGGGCTCAGTATGAAGCACGAGCCTATAAGCTCTCAGCGGCTCACCTTGGGGAAGGGGGTTCTGGCAGGGCCTCAGTACTTGCAGCG